AGAGTTGGGCCAATTTTGAAATTAAAAAAAAAATGTGGGCCAGAAAATGAGGCCCCCTCCACGTTTGGTCCTGAGGCGGCGGCCTCATTCGCCTCGCCTCAGGACCGGGCCTGAGGTCAAACACACGAGGAAGGCAAACACGCTGAGATCCTTCGTAACAGTCGGAGTCCTCACACTACATGAGAAGTCCAGATTGAGGTACTTCTTCTAAGACGAAACTGCCTAAGGAAGCTAAGAAAGGAGTCGAGGTTCTCCACTGAGAAAAATACCTCGAAGACTCCTCCAAGACTCTCAGTTCATTCGAAGCTCATAGTTGAGGTTGTTCCACTTCGGAAATCTCTGTGAAGTAATTGATGTAACACTTATAATAAAAGTTTGTCAGCGTATCAGCCTATTGTATAGGACGGCTGACCCTTTATCAATATATTAGTTGTATGAATAGACAGCGATTTGACGTCTCTATTAAAGAGATAATGCCACGTGGTTTTGATCCAACGATCAACGCGTCGGCCAAGATAGTATAAATAAGTTCTTTGTGTAATTTAGAAGGGGAGGTTGGATCATTGATTAAAAATAAAAAAATAAAAAAATGGACAATCATATATTCGAAAGATGCATTTGAACTCTTGAAGGAAATATATTAACATTTCATCTATCCTACAACATATTCCGGGTTGTTATTAGATGGAGGAGTTTGGTTTCAACTCGGCAATCGTTGTTAGTGCAATTGCTTTTGTTCCACCTGTCGGAACTTGAATAATTTGTCTCTCGCCGCAAAATATCTCCCGCGTCTATTTCCTCATTGCTACCGCCGTTACTTCGGTAGGAACGCGTCGGAACCGTACTTAACTTGACGTGAGTGGACCTAATATCTGTTGGCTCATTTTCAGAGGTAAACATTATCCGTGAAAAAAATCCTTTACATATAGTATGTTTCTATTGTAATATTTGTTTTTAGTTGAAATGATAGTTGAGTGCTCGATCGTCATTCACAAAGGGAGACATGAAAGTGTTCTTCTTAAATCCATTTCCTAGTATCGAGGGGTTGGTAAAATTGAATAACGAGACGCTCCATGTTTAATAATCACGTCAAATCATAATTCCAATGTTTTGAAAACCGACCCGATCATTGACCCGAAAAAGCTGAAAGGTCAAGGGTCAAAAGGTTCAATCGAGGTCGAATTAGGGTCGAATCGAATAAAATAAATACATGCAAAAATAATAAAATAATATGAAAACAATTGTTTTTTTTTT